CATTTTTTAAAAAGATACATACACATGTACGCTGAAGTTTTGAAGGAACACATACCAAAATGTCAATAGGAATTACCTCTAAGGAGGAATGGAGGGCAAAGGAAAGGAAGAGACTGTTGTTTTTTTACTTTGTACACATCTGAGGTTTTGATATGGTTGTGATGGTGGACATTTTGTTGTTTTTTGCATTGTTTTCAACAGATGTGCTACTTTTGTAATTTTTAGCAACCATTTTGTTTCTTAATCATTTTGAGCCTATTTTGTCTCTTTGTAAACTTTGAACAACCAGAGTTTGTTTATTAATTATTTTATTTGTTTATTGCTTCATAGAATGTTTTTGATTCAATGAAGATACCACACTGATTTTTCAGAGAAAAAGCTTCTGAGTCTTAAATTACAGTGAACTGTAAGAAGAATTGAAAAAACTGGCATAGAGCATGCGGTAGTTGTGTGGTAAGTCTGGTGACAAATTGTATGTGTGGTGATAATCAGTGATAATTAGAGTGATAATCAGAGCTTTAGTTAATGGACATATTCATACATGTTAATAATAGTATGTAGAAACCTTGTTCATTATTACAGGAAGGGAGCTAACATTTGCAAAGAGCTTACTACATACCATACATTTTATACATGCCATCTACTTCAGTACTTCAAGTAAATATTAATTTTATTTGAAAGTGAAAGAAACCAAGGCCCAAAGAACCTAAGTAAATTAGTCAGGACCAAAACACAATATTGTAAGATAAAAATAGTTTACCATTTGGTATACAGAGAAATTGGTGACAGCACCATCACTTAAAAGTAGATAATCAGATTGATAATCTAATGTCAGACTGTAGGTCTCCTAGATAAGTCTTGGTGTCAGGAGGGTGGGAGAGGGCAGGATTTATAACTCCCTAGTTATAGGAGAATATAAGAGTTTGGTTTAGAAATGAGCTGTAGAAACCAGATCTCCAGTTGCTAATCCTATGCAGTCTCTCTCTTTCTTAACCTGAAATTGATGTTTTTGGTTTACCAGTTTCAAGATAGTTTTTGTCTAAAATGTTATATATTGGAATAATTAATATTTAATTATCTTCCTTCATGAACTATGGAGTTCCCTATTGAGAGTTTTTGTAGTAGCCAAGCAAACCTTTCAATAAAGCTTTTGTTCTCTTTGTTAGTCTTGCAATAGTTTGGAAGGTTTTTAAACTTTTTCTTTGAATCCATTCAATATTTACTAAATTTCTCTTCTTTTTTATACTTGGAAGAAAAAAAATGGTATTTCTCAGAATATTGGGATTAGTTCTTGAGGATGAGAGAGATTATGTTTGACCTATTTAGAGTATTATGGATGACTGAGGACACTTGAACTTTTTCCCATTTAGGAAATAAGTGCTTTGGAAAATATAAAAAATGAGAATTTTCAATGTCAGCAATAGAAAAAAATTCAGTTTATAGAACTCTATTTTAATATTTATGAAACCCATGAAAACTTGAGCAGCTGTATGTCCAAAATTATAGAAAATATGCTGCCTTAATTTTAAAGATGGACTGAAATTTTGCCAGGATAAAGGGACTTTTCTTAAGATAAGCTTTTTGCTTTATTTATGATAGTCAAGAGAGTGTATGGAGAACCATTTTTAGTAAATTCAAGGTGTGTGCTATATTTGATCACCATTGTTACAAGTTTTGCTTTTGAACACTGAGAAAGAATATAAAGTATATTCTGGCACAAGCACCTCAGTACCTGTTTACCTCTTTAGATGCTGGTAGACCACTTGTTTTGCTAGTCTTTGGAATTGGAAGGAGTGTCAGATACACAGAAGCCAGAGTCATCTTGGCCAGATGGTGTTTGATACAGATGGATGGTTAGTTGTCATGCAGATCTCCTAGTTGGTAACTTGTTGCTGCCATCTGACTCAAAGAATCATTCACACACTCTGGCTGTCAAAAGCATCTTCTCTTCTGTCTGTTTTAGCTGTCATGTCTGTGCTCTGTACAGAAGTGTTGACAAGACATTGCTGTTGTACATTTTCAATGTGGTTGTTAGTAATTTTTCTGTTTTGTAGGATCTTTGGTAGTGCTGGAATGTACTTGCTTTGTAATTGTACTGATTTTTGTGTGTGTAAATACTATGACAGTGCAACAATTATCTGACCTTTTAAAAGGAATTTTCAGATAATAAGTTTATATACATCTGTTCAGTGAACAAAAAGCATTTAATAAAAGGAAGAAAAGCCTCTTGTTTCTGTTAGTTTCCAAACACAGCAAGTAAACTCAGTTCTGCTGGTTATTTCCCAGTTTGATACAATATCCTCTTCTGGACTTTCCCTCTCATGGCTTTGTGGTCAGTCTTTATACTGTTTCTAAATATTTTCTCTTCTCAAATTAGTAATTTTTTTTCTGACAGTATAAGCTTCCCTTTTTTTCCAAAAAAAAGGAAAAACGAAAAAATCTTCAGACATAGCCATTTTTTTGCATCTATCTTCTGAAACTTAATTTTCTTTTGTCTTATTTACTTACTGACTTACTATCTCTATTTTTCCTATTTTTCTTCAAAAATGTAAGTAAAACCTTATCTCCATTCCTTCAGGTTAACTTCTGAAGACACATCTATTTCTCTTATATTTTCTTAACTTAATTAGATTATTTATTTGACTAATATTTATTGAGCATTTCAGTATGTGCCAGGTACTCTGGAGATATCAGAAGAGAATAGTCTCTGTCCCTGAGGAGATCATAGTCTGAAGAGAAATCATACATATAAACAATTAGGCTAGACTAATAATTGATATAATGAAAGTGTGTGGAAAGAACTTAAAAGAACATGGGTTATTACTATTCTGTTTCTCCTGCTATACTTCCAGAGTATCAGTTTTTTGTTATTACAGAATTTGCTTAAGTTTATGAAGTACTTTGTTAAGTGGTTTATTAAATAGTGGAAAACTTCAACTTGAAATTGTTGATCTCTTGATTTTTTTTACCTGCTAATGAGAACATTTTCAGCATTTTTCATTTATTATAATATGTTATATGGAGATGTGCTAAAGTATGTTTTTAAGCCAGAAAATAGAAGATGAAAATTACCTGGCAGAGGCTTTCTGAGTTGCTTCCAAAAGAAAATACAGGTCATTTGTTTTTTCATTAAGGTTGGGAAAAAAATATGCAGTAGATAGAGAATGGGCTGAGGTTTGAATAACTTATACATTTATTCTGAGTGTGTCTCTTAACTTAGTAAGTTTTTTGTACTGGTCATTTAATGCTTGATAGTAAAATATATATACCTATCGAAAAATAGTGAAAGAATGGATAATTTTTGGTTCATGTTTATGAAAAGTTTGGAGTTTTTTAGAGGAAGTTCTAAATACACAGAAGTAGATAGAACAAAGCATAATATCAGGCATGTTTGCTGATTCCTCAGCCCTGGTAGCTCTGTGTAGACAAGGCAAATTTAAAGTATTACAGAATTAGCATTAGAGGTTTAAACCCTTCTTATAGTCAACCCACCCACTCTTTCTAGGGGCTTGGATGCAAATTTATGTATGAATAAGTCTTGTTCTGGGAAGCCTGGCCCTAGGCTGGAATTTGGTATCCAAGGTTCTATTATCACACTCCTACTCATAGGATGTATGGTTCAGACAGATTCAAAAGATTCATTCTTTTACTTAAAATAATAAAATTTATTTGAATTTTATTTTAATTGGATTCTTTTTTTTTTTCCAATAAGCTTGTACTGAATATGTCCTATGTATAAGTTACTTTGCATAGAAATATCAAGTTACATGAAGCTACCCTCAGGCAGCATTCAAGACAGAACACCACTTGAATTACTTACCAGCTTTGTCAGTTACTCATGTTTAAAATATATACAAAATTCCACCTTTTATTTGGGAAAATGTGCTATTTTGCTTTCATTTCTTAAGCTAATTTCTTTTGGGACTCTAGAAACAGCTGTGTCATTTATAAAGTACTTAATATTTGTGGATCTCTGAAAATACTAGAGCTTCACTAATTTTGATCATTGATTAAGAATCAATTCAAAATCAAATATTTAGTATCTATTGAAGGACATTCCAAGATTATTAGAACCCCATTTCATATTTCAAGGAGTTTACAGTTTAGTCATTTATATGTTCTAGTGATAGATATTGGTAAAGAATTCTCTATTATTTTTTGGTTATATGTTTTTCAGACTTTGTGCTAATTTGATCATCGTAATGGAGTGTTCTCAAATATCACGTTTGCAACATTTATATGCTGCAATGCGAACTTGTGTATTCTTTCACTGCTCCCATCCAAGTACTAACTAGGCCTGACCCTGCTTAGCATCCGAGATCAGACCAGATCCGGCATTCAGGGTGGTATGGCCATAGACTTTCATTGCTTAATTCTCACAGCCATTGCAATGGTAGTAAAGTGACTGGATTAAAAATATAAGGGAAATTGTGGTATTTAAGATGTCCATTAGAAATTAACCATGTGGTTTCTTGACTTCTTAAATCCTAATCTTGGAATTTCTGATCAATGTAATTTTATAATTTGTGCTTGTACCTTTGATTTTCATAGTGTTTTAGCTGTAACTACTTTGTGTTTTTCTACTCTAAAAATAAATTCAAAAGTGCATTTAAGAACATGACATCTTAATTTTTTAAAGTTAGTATTTTTATAGAAAAACTTTTAACATAGCATCCATTTTTTCATTCATGCTTTTTTGTTATCATTACAGATTAAATTCTAAATTATAACTTTTATCCAAGAAACTGTACATTGAGCTCTTAACTGAAATTTCTCCTAAGGTTTCTCTAAAATTTTACAGTGCTTAAAGTGTTTTAAATCACTTTTGTTTGTAACGATTATAAGTACATGATTGAATCCTGTTTTCAGCTCGTAAATAAATGCCCCTGTACCTGGGAAATGGCAATATGGGTAACTCACACCTATATGTAATTACTAACGGACGTTAATGTATACACATATCTGTCAGTAGATGCCAGGCTAACTGGTTTTCATGTCAGCAGACTGAGAGCTATGAGCAGAGAATACGTGAGCAACAGGAACAGCTGTCACGTCAGCAAACGCTCATTGACAAGCTCAAGTCACAGTTACTTCTGGTGAATTCCAGTCGAGGTATGTTCACGTTAAATTTTTAAGTATTTCTTAAACCTCTGTGGAAAAGAAAGATGGAAGTTAAGTTTTTCTGTTTTATTTCACCTGTGTTTCTCAGTATTTCTGGTATCTTCATAACTGTGGTGCAGTTAAGTTTTATGTTTATTTAAGAAATGAACACTTGAAGGAAATGGGAAAGTGGACAGCCACATGTACCATATGGTGGCACTCTTAAGTTGGTAAAATTTCCTAGAAGACAATTTTTCAGTAAATAGCAAAAGCTTTTTAAATGTGTGTGCCTTTTAAACCAAAAATTTGAGTCCTAAGAATGTATCATAAAAATATATTTCTTCAGGTACTCAAGGTATATATTACAAAGATGCTCATCACAGTAATAATTTCTAATAATGGAATGTTCAACCGTTAAATTATATTCATTCATGTAGGAAACAGCTGTGTAGCCAAGTAAAGTGATAATAATAGGTGTTCGCTTAGAAACATGAGACATATTCATGATATATAGCAAAATGAGAAAAGCAAGATAAAAAACATGTAATTTTATCTATGCAAAAAAATTGTTTCTTGTGAATTTATTTGTATTGAGAAAGAAAAATTCTGGTAAAATATAAACCAAAATGTTACTAGGGATCATTCACAGATGATAAAAACTGTGAGTAGCTTTTTATTTATACTTTTCAGCATGTCTGCATTTTCTGATTTTTTTATAATAAGCATAGAGTCATTATACAAGTAAGTAAACAGCAAATGCATACCTGAATATATTTCTTAAATAAAAATTTAATTGTGGTTGCTGATGATAAGATACAAACAGCATAATTTTAGTTTTGTAAATTCTATGTATTCTGCATACTACTAATACTGGAAGTGTAGGAATTTTGTGTGTTTATTGGGAATGAAAATTTAAAAATATGAATCAAATATGCCAAAATCTAAGTGGACAAACCTAAATTGTTAAGGTAACTATTATCTAAAGAATTTTTAAAACCCATAGTTTAAAATCTCTGCTCTTTAAAATTAGGGGTTTGGGTGTATATTCTTTTTACTTTTCTAAGTGGTACCCAAAACAAGGATTTCCCACTTAGGTCCAAGAGGTTTTTGTCTTACAGATAACAGTTGTGGCTATGTTCCCCTGCTTGAAGACAGTGAAGCAAGGAAGAATAATTTGACTCTTGATCAGCCTCATGATAAAGCAAAATCAGGAACACCAAGAGAAAAAGAATCAAAGGTAGACTGCACTGCCATTTTATTCCCTAAAGGAAATAAATGAAAAATCAGACTTTCTGAATTATTTAGTCAGTATTCTGTTACATTTGGGGTGGGCAGGAAAGTTGGAGAAAGTGGACAAGATTCTTTTCAACCCTAACACTGTTACTACAAGAAGTAGAATTTAAATGCTAGTATATAACAACATCTTCCTCATTTTGTTTTCTTAAAGTGAATCCACCACTGGAATTCTAAACAGAAGTTCTTCATATACAAGCAAGTAACTTACATGTTCCTAAATATACTTGAAGCACTATTTCCAAGTAAAATAAAGGCTTAAATTTCTTATTTTCTAGTATTCATTTTTCTATATCACAGGTGTTTACCAAAGAGATAAAAGATTTAACAAAGAAAGATAAAAATAATATAGTAAGACACAGATGATTCTGGGCTAGAAAATAGCACTTTTGTTTTTTCATTTGCCTGTGTTTAATTAAAAAACAAAATCCACCTAACTAGCTGAAGCGAAAGTCTTCATTGAAGCAGTGTAAAAGTGAATATTGCGTATCTGTGGAGGAGACATGCGCAAGGATGTTCATGGCACTTTGGTTAGAAATAACCTAAACATCCATCAGTAGCACAGTGGTACATCATTACAGTTAAACATTTTAGAAAAATTAAACTGAATATTTACTTACTACTATACCTGGATTTCAAAAGCAGTGTTGAATGGAGATTACAGTGATAAAATAGGAATAATTTATTTAGATTTTCTTTAAATGTAAAGCATGACATCATTTATGAAAATATAAATGCATAATAAAAGTAGAAAAATACATGCAGGTAGGGTACATATTTTCTTTAGAAAAAGAAAGATGGGGAGAACTAAGACTATCTTGTTTTTATTTAACATCAAATTGATAAATCCTGTTTGATACTTACCTATAAATAAAAATTTTAGAATGAAAAATTTCCTATAGTATCTCTCAGTTCATAGTTCTTTATTAAGAATCAGTATTGGTTTTTTTATTTGAATCATTTAGCTCTCTTCGCCCTCACTCCAATTTCCATTTATCTAAAACTGCTAGTAAACACAAGAAACCATGCCACTGGAATATGTTTATAGATTTATTTTGCCAAACACAAAATTCAGAAACACTGATTCTGACTTTTAGAATACAGTTTTGTCATAGAGCCTAGTAAGTACATTTTAAAATCATTAAACTACTATAAAATGCTGACTTATAAAGATAGTGCTTAAGTAAGTAATATTTGCAGGCCATTTTCTTGTTTCAGGGACTTCTAAATGTCATGATTTACCATTAATTTTTAGTCACAATTCTTACATTTATTCTAATTATATCTTTGAAGATAATAAAATATCTCCAGTTCAAAATATATAGAAGGTATTTTTGAAAATAGCAATCTTGAATAGAATAAAAGGGGTAATGTGAAAATCTCTAAGATGTGTTACTAATTTAGTTAATTTTGAATTTGGATAATTTGTCATTATTTGAAAGTTTTATTAGCATCTGTCAGTTATGAACACTTGAGCTGAAATTAAATGTAACAGGAATCATGTCAAAGGTAGCTTTTTATCAAAAAATTAATAATGTTGCATTGATTATATTTGTAGACAGATGATAAGAGGAAAATATATAAAGCTCCAAATAAGAAATAAATCTAAAATTCATTGAGTTCTCTTAATTCTCCTTACTATATTTGACAACTCTATATTTAATGTGAGCAATTGAGCACACACATACATTAAAAATGGGCTTCCCAGGTGGCACAGTGGTAAAGAATCCATCTACCAATTCAAGAGATGCAAGCAATGCAGATTCAATCCCTGTGTTGGGAACATCCCCTGGAGTAGGAAATGGCAACCCACTCCAGTATTTTTGCCTGAAGAATTCCATAGACAAAGGAGCCTGGCAGGCTACAGTCCATGGGGTCACAAAGAGTCAGACACTACTGAGTGACTGAGCACACACAGGTATTTAATACTTTGAGTAGCTCATCAACTCAGTCTTTTTGTATTATAATAAAAAATTAATGATTTTACATTTCAGTTTTCTCATCTCCTTTTATATGTGAGTGAAGTCGCTCAGTTGTGTCTAACTCTTTGCGACCCCATGGACTGTAGACAGCCAGCTCCTCTGTCCATGGGATTTTCCAGGCAAGAATACTGCAGTGGGTTGCCATTTCCTTCTCCAGGGGATCTTCCCAGCCCAGGGATTGAACCCAGGTCTCCCGCATTTTGGTCTGAGCCACCAGGGAAGCCCTTTTATATATCTAGAGCCAAAGTGCTAATAAGCACTAAACATATAAAGGATTAAAGAGAACAGATATATTCTAAAGGAATGAATAAGTTGGATTTATTGAGTATTTAAGAGCTAGATATATATTCATTTTAAAACCTTAGCCCTAATTTAGAAAAATACTGGCCAGTTGAAAGTAAAATCTTTTCCATTGGTGTATATGTTGGTCTATGCTTATTAAGTTATAACTAAATACACTTTTAGCTAATACAAGTGAAATTATTTCCTAAAAACTTTAAATGGTATGGATACATTTAAGATTTTTCCAAAATGAAAAAATTCCATATTGGTTGCTTGCAGTTTTAAAAAAGTATGCATGTATACACAAAATAAAACCTATCAGGTAGTATTCAGAAATGGCTAAGATAGTGGTACAGTTTTTTTCCTGTTTTCAATGTGACTTTATGTTTATTAGCCTTCTCAAAAATGAATTAATTTTGTTGTTTTTTTTAATTGAAGTATAGTTGATTTACAGTGTTGTGTTAGTTTCTACTGTACAGCAAAGTTACTCAGTTATACATATACTGTAAACATTCTTTGCTGTATGTTCTTTTCCATTATGGTTTATCATCCTGAATATAGTCCTCTGTGTTATAAAAAACTCCAATTGATTTCATTCCCAATCAGTTGGCCAAGTCTCTAATGAATTAGTGACTTAACAGAAATGTTTTAAACCAGTAACAGAAGGAAGCTGCTACTAACCACTCACAGCGCTTTCCTCCTTCTATTTGGTGGGAAGTTTTGAGGAATATTTATCTTGTTTAGGACTTGATTACGGTATTTGAAAAGGGAAAGATCCCTGGACACTACAGTAAATGTCAACAATGGCTGCCTTGGAAAACGAGATACAGAGTGGAGGGGAAAGAGGCCCTTTTAGAAGATTGTATTTGAGAAATAGGAAATTTGTAGTTCAGTCTCTGTTTATGGTAATCCTACACAAGGAGCCTGACGGTCACAAGTCCATGGGGTCACAAAAAATTGGACAGGACTGAGGGACTAACAATTCCACTTTTTTTACACAAAGCACATGCAAGAATCCTTTGATTTCTAAAAGGATATAGAGTCAAGATAGCAGAACCTGTATCATTGAATGACCCTTAGTATTCTGTTTACAGTTTAGAGACATTAGGGGAGACGTCCTCAGTTTAAAGGAAAACCTGAGTTTCACTTCTTGTTCACCACAGTAGTTTGTACAGTGTTTCTTGATGAGATAGAATTCATTATATTATCTATCATATAACAAACCACCTCAGATTTACCCTAGTACTTAGCAACAACTATCACGTCCTGTGAATCAGAAATTCAGGAGTGACTTAGCTGGGTGGTACTGGTTCAGGATCCTGTGTTATCAAAGTCAAGATGTGGCCAAGGCCTTCCAGTCATCTCAAGGCTTTACTGTAGTTGGAGGATCCACTTTCAAGATGGCTTACTCCAAGATGGCTGTTGACAAGAGACCTGGCCACACAGGCCTCTCATCACACTGACAGGTATCTTACTCAGACTAAGAAAGAAAGAGATATAGGATAGCAAGGAGGAGCCCATAGTGCTTTCTAAAATCTAGTCTCTAAAATCACATCTTTGCTTCAGCTTTATTCTGCTTATTAGAAATGAATCACTAAGTGCTCCAGAGATAAGAAAATAAGTTCTTCCTCTTGGAAAAAAGAAGATTATCGAAGTTTTTGTAGACCTACTGTATTTAAAAGTATCACAGGGATTGTAGATTGTGGTGTACAGAAGAGGGTACCAAAAAGATCAAGGGTATGTGGGGGGACAGCACAGTGCTTCACTTATCACTTATCACTTCATGTGATAAATATGAATGAAAGATAAAGGAATCTGGCAGAATTTAATAATGAATTTGACTTCCTGAATTCTATTATTATTCATCTCAGAGGAAAGAAATATCATAGCTTATTTATCTTGAGAGTAGTTTCAAAAATTCTAATATGAATATAGACTTTCCAGGGGAGATTAGCTGAGCAGTGCTTTAGAGAATCAAGAAACTTGCATGTTATTACTGTGAAAATTAAAAATTGTAAACAATCAAATCATTCAAAAATACATAAACTTGTTCTTGGCAAAGACTACACTCTTGTTTGCAGGACACCATTGTCAGACATAGTAACATATGTCATGATGGCAGTTATTACTTAGCAAATTTTGTATTTTAATGTAAATACAAATTGGCATTGTTTAGTTTACTTTTGTAAAAAAGCTAGGATTGTAATATGTTGGGGGGTTTTTCTGGCTGCGCCACATGGCTTGTGGGATCTTAGTTCCCTGACCAGGACTCAAACCCAGGCCGAGTGCAGTGGAAACACAGAGTCCTAATCACTGGACTGCCAGAAAAATCCCATGGGTCATTTTTATGATCTTGAAAATGAAACTTTCTATAATAGTGCTTTAGGAAACACTTCAGTTGTCAAACTGAATGCTATCCGAGGTGTATAGGGTGTGACAAAAAATGTTGGCATCTTTCTTTTCCATTTGTGTGTCTGTAAGTTATACAGAAGTCTAGAGTGTTTTGACACAATATATAAAGAGCAATAATGTAAAATACATAAAAGAATTTAGCAATATTAGTAAATTTTTTCACTCATTCATTCAATACCTCTAAACTGCCCTCTGATTTAAAGTCCTGATTTAATAACCAAATAGACATTATTGAATGGTCTAGGATCCAGGATACAAAGTAGGTATT